GATAAATATAATAATAACTAATAACTAATAAAATACAAATATCGAAATAATAAAATAATACTGAGATAAAATAATAAACTAACAAAATAAAACTGTTTTATAACAGTGCTTTTTTCCTTTTTTTTTTTATAGTTGAGTTAGTGTTTAGGGTTATAATTGATAATTAACAAGTATATGTGGATTTTAGCAGTGCTTATATTTTTAAATAGAGACCCCAAATTTCAGCTTCAGCTGTTTCAGCATCAGTTGCGATATAAATTATTAATATTACCATTATATAAATTATCTTCAATATTAATCTCATTATAATCATTTAAATTATAAATATTACTTTCTTTTAAATTTAAATATAATTTATTAATTATATATACTGCACTTAAAAAATATATAATAATAAAAAGTTTTTATTTAATAAATACCCTTTTCAGAATCACTATCTAAATTAATTTCATCCATTATAAATGATAATAAGGTTTTTTTATTTTGTATATCATTTATGCCATTCTCTGTTTTACCTTTATTTTGATCTTGATCTTGACCAAATTCTATAAAAATTATTATTATATTAATGTTAGTACATTCAAAATTCTAAAATTTTATAAATTAAAGGTTATTATTATATTTACCATCTAATATTTCATAATCATTATAATCCTCATTATCATTATAATCTTTATTATCTAAGCTGAAATTTTCAAGAAAAGTAGGTTAAATATTTTGCTTATTACTATATATTACATCAATTCAGCTATAATATGAATATAACTCTTCTAATTTTGCATCGATGGTATTAATACCATTAGTGTGATCTTGTTCAGTTAGACCCCAACCTGAATTTTCAGTTAATCTATGAGTTTCTATATATGTTTTCTTATATGTTGCCCATCAACCACTTGCTATTTTAGCATTCCATTGACTATCCTTGCAATGTTTATTTACAAATAAAGCCATTTGTGCAAAGCCTGCATTTTTTGTTACAGGCTTACCACTTATGGGTATACCAGTTACCGCTTTTCCATCAATAATATTTTGATTTGCTGGATTTTCTAAAAACATAACCATTGCGAGCTTTTGCTCTTTAGTGGTTTGTTTAAAAGTTCTTTTTGGAGGCATGTTAACATTAATTTATTAAATTATTAACGATTTGAAATAAATATATAATAAATTACTTAAAAAATTTTAAGCGAAAATTTAAATATCAAATATAAATAATTTATAATATCATATGATGATAATACATCATCAAACGGGGTTTACTGATTTTTTTTTGGATACGCCTATTTTATTTTCTTATTTCAGAATTTCAAATCAGAAATAGGACCTTTTAAGCTCCCACTTATTTTCGAATTAAGTTAATTCTGAAACCCCCTATTGATTCAAATTCAAAATTTGATTTGATTTAGCGGAGTAATTGAAACGGAATTCCAAATCTCAATGCCATTTGGCCATTTCTACTGCAAATAAATATTTTCTCAACGGGATTTACTATAAAAATTTTTAAATTGAAATACGTAAATTGTATCAACTGAAAAAATATATATTTCAACATAAATTTTTTACTAATCAAAGTTATTTTTAATCTTTCGCTAGTTGAAAATGTTTTTTATTTCATTCATTTCGTACTTTTGGAAAATGTTTCAATTTTACTAAATTTTTTTATTGTTGTCCAATTTTCGAAATACATATAAGACTTTATTCAATAGTTTTTAAACCATTTCTCTTGTTATAAGACATTGTAGGTTTTTAATATGATCAAAGCGCCTACACGTAAATCGATCAACTCATCAGTTTCAAATAATCATATTCATAAGAATTCTTATACTGTACTATAGCTCAAATATAATTACCCTATAAAAAATTTTCGAAAACCGTATCCCGACTTTCACCAGATTATCGTTCCTTTTTCGATGCAAATTCCTGATCATTTCCATAGAATCCCAATAATTTTCAAGTAGAAATTAAATTCGGATAAGATTCGGCTTCTAATCTTATCCGGATTAATTCTAAATTACTAAGATTCTATGGAAATTTGTATATGTTTTGTTCCGAAAAATGAGCATTTTCCGGAACGATAATAGAACGATAGTATGAGGAAAGTCAGGATACGTTTTTCAAAAAAATTTTTATAGTGTCATATTCATATGAATTCTTATGCTATGGTAGCTTTCTCTTTATACTTCATTATATTCATATGAATTATTATGCTATAGTAGCTTTCTCTTTATATTTATATATTCATATGAATTCTTATGCTATAGTAGCTTTCTCTTTATATTTATATATTCATATGAATTCTTATGCTATAGTAGCTTTCTCTTTACACTTCATTTACCGTATGTCCATCATTTAAACGATTTTATTTCAGTGACTCTGATAACCACTATTCAAAAAAAAAAATCAAATATAGTATTGATCATACCTGCTTTAATGATATTTGGATATTTGATCCAAAGTAAATACTAACGAAAATAGCGAATGAGCCTATTACGGATATTGAACTTATTCAATGCCTAATAAAAAAAAAGGTATTTAATGTTGGAACATACGCTTTAGGTTAATGACGCGATCTATTTCTTTTTCTTTATATATTATAAACTATTGCAACTATGAAAGTTAACTTTTTAGGTAATTTGTTATTAATTATTTTTGTTTTACAAAATAATATGTCAATTAATTCTTATGAAGAACCATTAACAAAATTATGGAATGTAAGTTATAGTGAGTTACCCATGCTATTGGGTTACGAAAAGAATTTAATGGATGTAGAAGGACGCCTACAAATATTACTACAAAAATATGACACAGATATAGGAGGGACTTTCATAGACGTACCAGGGAATAAAATACATATTAATGTATTAAACCATGCTATGAATGTGGTTGAACGTAGTTTAAATTCTACATTTCTACAAGATAGTCATTTATTTGTTTATAAACCAGTAAACCATTCCATAGCAACATTAAGACAAACGTTTACCGAAATCTCAGATCTAGCTAAAGGACTTAAACCCTCAGTTATTACTTCTTATATTTCTATAGAATCTAATTACGTCATTTTAGAATCATTCCCAACATTTGATGAACAAAATAAAAGGTTTTTCGATGCCATCAGACGATATAACGAAACTGTAAAGCATTTTAATCATTCTAATATACCTAATACTCAACCTTCTTTTGTTGAAACAAATAATGTGAAGATAAATACTATCCAGCTATGGTGCTCATATATGTAAATATGGCTTCTCTACACATATTACTTGTGGAAACATAATTGGGATTAATGGATTTTTCATAACTTCGAAAAAGGAATTTAAGTTTCCACTGATCTTTTCAACCGCGAAAGATGCTGATGGTGACAGTGGAGGCCCGTATTTTCTTATAAACAAGATTTGCGACATGTGAGTCTAAGTGGTATTCACGTAATGGGTGGTATTGCACTATCAGGATATTTACCATCAGAGGAAATTCTTAGAAAGTTTAAATTAAGGCTTATTTTGTAGACAAATTATAAATTGATTTTATGCCATAGTATAGATAATTTTGTTTTAATAATACGTGATACTTGTTTAAAAACTATCAATATTGTAATATTGTAGTGTTTCTTTGCTTTTTTTTTCAGATTAATATTATACTCGTTAAATATAAAGCATCATAAAAGGCCAATATTAACTGTTTTAGATCACATCTAACTTTATAAACCAAGATAGTTATACAGTATCTATCAAAAATATTGTTCCGCTTAAAAAAAAATTTGATCTATAATATTTCGAGATCTAATATATGCATATCTTGAGTATATTACTGATTAATTATCGAGTTCATACAATTTTTTAACAAACGTAAATATAAAATGTCTATTAACGTTAATGTATAATTTAAAGCCCGATCTGCATCATTGCTGAACTCGATAATTAATCAATAAAACATACTTAAATTGCCGAGGTGCCCTTTTCTAGGGATGGGTCCGGTTCCGTTTAGCCGCGGTTATTGACCGTAACCGATACTGACCGGTCAGAGCGGCTTAGCCGACCGGTTGACCGATACTATGAAAAAAATAAACAGATCGACACAGATCAGCCCGATAAGACAAAGATCGACACTGATCAGCCCAATAAGACAAAGATCGACACGGATCAGCCCGATAAGACGGAGGATCCCGAAAATGTTACGTTTTTTTATTTTATCAGTCATAACCGGTCGGTCACGGTCAGTCATAAAATAACCGATAATAACCGACCGTGACCGACCGTGACCGACCGAACCCATCCCTACCCTTTTCCCTTGGCGGCACTCATATGAGGTTTTGCCTTGAAAATCACCCTCCGACATTTCTGGTTGGGTTAATTCGGACAAAAATAAACCCGAGTACAGGTCATGTTTATATGTTAATCATCTTTTACCTTTATTGATTCAATAGTTATTCGATAAACTAATGAATTAAATAAATGTAAAGAATGATTAATATATAATGAACCGGTACTCGGGTTTGTTTTGTCCGAATTAACCCGAATGGAAATATCGGAAGGTGATCTTCAATGCAAAGACCCATATCTAAAATTTGAGTATCAGTTAGAATACTTTTTTATGCTGTAACGTATGCGACAATTAAGCAGCCTGAATTTCTAACCCCGGTAAGTCCCATCACTAGTCCGAAGTTAAAAATATAATTTTCTTAGTTGATTGGCTAATTATTTGATGACATCACTGGAATCTGGTCAATTGCTCTACCATAGAGTCCTCGTTACGCTTCGGCCAATAAGGGTCCGGGTTTTAGGGTGCTCTCAAGCATATAAATCAATAGGTCTGAGCTCAATTTTTAATTAGTGGTCAATAAATTATTTGGTCAAACGAGTTCATTATCGCGATAAAAAAAAAAGATAGTCTTTTTATCACAGAGTTGTGCTGATTTCGCAACGTGGATTTTCGACAAAATTACCGTAAGGTTTACCGTAGTACTTGTGCACGATCTCTATTACACTGAGAGAGATGCTTGAGAGCACCCTTAGTCAGGGTTAGGTTTTCAGGGGTTCTGAACAATACCCTGACGTTTTTTTTACCTAATAAGTTATTTGAGATAATGCACCCGGTGATTATTACCACCGGTTATACTGTAGTCAGTAATATTCTAGTGCAATGTTTCTGATATCTAAAAGTAAAAATAATTGAAAAAAATGTATTTTTCACCCCGCAACGCGACATTTTTATCACGGTAATATGTGCATATAAATAATGATCATCAACTACTATTGTTTTTTTTCTATTTATTTTTCCTTTTTTTTTTTTTTTTTTTTTTTTTTTTTTTTTTTTTTTTTTTTGCCCGTTTTTTTTTTGGTTTTTTTTTTTTGCGGTGGTTGATTCCTGTCCTTGTTGGTTTTTTTTTGTCTATTTTTTTCCCGGGTTTTCTGGCATATAAATAATTATCTCCAACTCTTTTTTTTTTTTTTTTATTTTTTTTTTCTTTTTTTTTTTTTTTTTTTTTTTTTTTTTTTTTTTTTTTTAGCGACGCTGTCTTGGAATCGTCACGAACATATGGGGGGTGTCAGTAGAAACCAGGCAAATTGTTTCTAAGTAAATTTTTTTTCTAACTTTAAATTAAAATATTTCAACAACTATTAAACCAAACTTGATAGAATTTTTTTTATTT